TTTCTGTGGAGTATAAAAGTGATTGTAACCCATAAAGGTAAAGCAAATGAAAAGTAACAAGAGTTAATTTTAACTTACTAAGGCTAGGATGGCTGCCTATAATGCGCATGGGGATGGTCTGCATGTCTCCTAACAGAATCTGAGAAACACTTCCTTCAAGATTTTCTGCATCCTCGACGTCCCCAACTTCTACTAGTTGGTCCATTGCAATGAGATTATGATCTGGTCCTGGAGAGCTATCCATCGCGGAGGCAGTATTATTGTTTTGGGTCAGACATGAGTCTGTTGGGAGGTTGTGACTCTGACCAAGCAGTAGAGAATTATTACTCATTACAGCACTTCCTAATGAATCCAGAAGTCTTGAAGGGCTGGAGGAGAGGTGGTTATTTCCTGGTATCAGAGCTGGGGATTCATCAGGAGAGGAGAATCTTTGTTGTAACTGCAAACCCTTTTAAACAAAAAGAGTTGTATCAAAATGTTTACTATGAACAATATTTTCACATAATATTCTTTTGACATAAAATTGAAACCAGTGTGAGGAAGACGCTGTCTGGTACTTTTTGAATGGCAAATACAATCTTGTTTCCCCACTAAAAACAAAATAAAACAAAAAAACCAAACCCGTTGCAATCAAGCCATTTCTGACTAATTGCAACAACAGAACTGCTCTGAAGGTTATCTAAGACTGTAAATTTTTTCCCTCTAGTATTTATTTATTGAGCTATATAATAAACTTACCATATAATTCAATAGTGCAATCATATCAAGAAGGCCCATGCAATCATCACTACAATCAACTCTGGAACCTTTTCTGCCTTCTTTTACAATATTGATGTTGACTCCCCCAACCCCCCCACCTTCCCCAGGTAATCATTAATTCTGTCTCCGTAATTCCACCCATCCTAGTTTCCTTATACAGATAAATATACAAGACTACAGCAGACAACAAACAAGAGCCCATCAACAATGATGTATAAAACCTATAGAGACCTCAATGTAAGAGAAAACAGGCTATTACAAATTGAGAATCAATTCACCGAGCATTCATGAAGCGAGAACACTAATTCTGGTTGCTAAAATCTACTTTATAATGCTCTTTCCTGGCATTTGGGCTGTTGCTGTTCCTAGCCTAAGTGCATTGGGGATTCATCAGAAGCTTTCACGTAGGGACCCTACAAATGGATTTTAGGCTACCACTCTTGTCTATATCTTTTTGTGAGTATTTAGGATTTGGAGGCTAAAACTGTTCCCTTTCCAAAGTTTGGATCTTATTATTAGCTTTCTTTGGATGACCCAGGCTGGTGTGCATCTTCAGTGTGGATGTAGCTGACTCTTCATTTAGATGGCTGTTGGTTTTGTGACAAGACTTTAAGACCCAGGCAGTATTATTCATGATAACTGGGCCCCAGCTATTTGGTTTCCTCACCACACTGCTCTATGGCAACCATGTCTTCAGTGATCTCTTCATGAGGGCAAGTACCAGGCAGGTAAGGTGGTAAGTTTTTATAGAAGCAGACGGGAAAATTCTTTTCCTGAGGAGTGGCTGGTAGGTTTGAAGTGGTAACCTTTTGATTAGCAGCAGTGTTTTTTAACGACTCCACCACCAGGGCTACTTCATAAGCGTAAAACCAGTGGCCATCAAGTAAAATTCTAATTCAAAGCCAATCTATAATTAAGACTATAAACCAAAGCCAAACCCACTGCCATTGAGTCAATACTGACTCATAGTGACCCCCGTGGGTTTCCAAAACTGTAACTGTTTACGGGAGTGGAAAGTCCAGTCTTTCTCTGCTTCTGGTTTTGAACTGCCGACCATGGGATCACAACCCAATGCGTACTCACTACAACACGATAAGAACCAAAAGAAAGCTAATATAATAAAAGTCTATAGTATTCATAGTCAACTTCAAGCTTTTTAAAAACGCGCTGTTTGGATTCACTTCTTGAATCAAGAAGACAAAAAGAGGTTATCACATAATGAAAAGAACGTTGATCACTATACTAATTCTGTAATAATTTTCTAAAAATCTCTAGGAGAGGAGAGAGATTAAGAAGAAAGAGAAGGGACTCAAATTAGGCTAGCTGATACCTACCTGCAGTTGTGCAAATATTTTGGGCTGAAATGAGGAAAGTGAGGAGAGCAAGTGGGTTGGCTCTGGAGACAAAGAACTCCTTGTCTGATTTCCTTCCACTTTGGTGGTAATCAATTCTTCTGGTGCATTTTCTAAGTTATGTAAACAATATACTGTTAAAATAGGATCATTTCTATAAGCTTCTAGCATGGTACCCTTCATTATAAACCTTATTATAAGAGTTCAAATAAGAAAAAACATCAAAAGTGTCTACAGGACTTTAAGACATCATCCACTCCACTCTTTCTAGACCTGACAACACCTTATACTCAGTGAACAAGGTTCAACGTCATTGATCTTAACTTAGTATACTGATGAGGCCTAGAAAACTCTATGTATATTTCTTCCCATACTTAGGAAGATTTTATATACCAATAATTAAACTAGCATACTTTCCATGCTATGATGCTAAACTATGCACAAATTTCTTCAGATGAGGGAAACATACTGAGTTTCTCAATTACAAACTTAATCTTTTGTAGACCTAGGATAATGCCTGGCATAAAGTTAAGTTCTTAATAATAAAAAACTCAATCTCACTGCTAATGAGTTGATGCCGACTCATAGCAACCCTGCAGGACAGGGTAGAACTGCCACTGTGGGTTTCTGAGACCGTCACTCTTCATG